TAGAATTTTATGGCCAATTTTTTAATGGGGAAGCGACATCATAGCATTTGAATAGCCCACCAGATTATTAGCATTTTTGGTGATTATTGTTTCTTAATGAACATAATTAATTAAAGAAATTTAATTTTTTGATTCTTTCCATCGATCACATGACCTAAACTGAATTTCTTTTACGTATTTATGGATTGAGAGTTGAAGATTTCATGCAAAATTAGTTGGATGATGTTGTTGCACGTAAACATACCGAGAAGTGTATTTTATACACTTCCTCCAGGGGCGGAGCCAGCCCATGAAGTAGGGGGATCCCAGAGTTGAGCTGCCCCCGAATTTTTTATTTTTTATTGTTGAAGCATTATCTGTTAAAATGAGGGAAGTTGATACTTTGTGATGGAGAAAGGAAATAAATGAACATAAATTAATGTACATTATTAATAAAAAAAATCAAGAAGCGTATAAAAGAAAGTACTAATCTTTCATTTAGTAAAATCATACCTTATTACAAGCGTTCTTTTCAAGTTTAAGTTTTTGAATTGGTAGGATTTAAGTTTTTTATTCATTTGAGGACAAAACGATAAATACAAAAAATAAAATAAAATAATTTGTCAAAAAATTGGGGGGGTTCGGGTCTCCCTCAGGACCCTCCCTCCCTCCCTCCGCCCCTGGTCAAGAGTGCCTTGACTCGTGAGACAAAATATTAATAGGGAGCCTATGGATCTTAGTACAAAAAAAGATTGACAGAGAAAATTTAAAGCTAACATAGAGGTTATATTCAATAGTTCAGATCCTAAGAGAAGTACGGTGATCTTGATGGAGGGATGACATGGCCAATCGTACCACGACGTTGGAGAGGGACAGTCAAAATATTGGTTCTATGACAGAATGGCCGAAGTAGAGGAATAAGACCATTCATAGATGTCATTATTGATCATACCTTGGAGTTGAGGTTACTCGAGTGCAAGTCATTCATAAGAAAGAAACGAGAAAAAATCTCAATAGAAGTGGACTTGGATTGGCAAAACTGAGAGAATGAAATTATTTTCTTTTTAATTATAGGTACATACAAGGCATTAGGCAAAATAAATAAATAAGTAAATAATAATAATAATAATAATAAACGAGAAATAGGGATTGAACCAATGTGAGAGATCGATAGACTTGAACCATTTCTGAGGTTAATGTCATCAGGGCCTTCATATAGGGAGATCGACCCCAAGTGTAACAGGGAGATCACCCCTAATAAGTGAATGTGTAGGGAGTTATAAAAAGATTTTTGAGGATAATTCCGAATATGTGAGAAAAAACGTTAATCATCGTTGCCTTATTTATAGGTGATGATTGAGGACTACAATTATTATTATTATTTTTTTTTTCTAAAATTATACTTTTCATTTAGGGTAAAAATTACAATTATAATATTCTATTTTTCAAGTATAAAATAGTTATTACAAAATCAATAAAGCCCCTATAAATTCTCAGAAAAATTCTAAAAATCTCGAAATTTAGTGGAAATTTTGTTGGAGCCTTACATAAATAGTTTATTTCTTTTCTGCCGCATTAACTTGCACTAGAGATTTTTTTTAAAACACATTATACTCTTACTTATTTGATAAATTTTAAAACAATTTACGATGCATAAAGATTACCCTAAAATTCTAATTAAGAGATCTTCATAATAACATGCTAATACAGTAAGAGGAAATTACATAAAAACAGATATTTAATTTTTTAAATTCAAAAATCAAATTTTAAGTTTATTTAATAAAAAAATAAGGTATTAATTGAATTTATAATTAAAACCCTAATTTATTTTCATTCCACCGTCTCACTCTTGTCTCTCTCTAAAGAGATCGGGCTTCAAATATTTTCTCCATTCTCTCTCTAAACTCACCCAATTGCCTCCCTCCATTCTCTCTCACCTTTCTGTCGCCGCCGCCGCCTCTTTCGACCATGAATTCCTCACATTTTTGTTGCCGCCACCCGTCGTTGTCACATAGCCCCATCACCACCGTTAATCCATATCGCTCGCCAGGAACTTAAATCGCGATGGTGAAACTTTGCACTGCGCGACAGAAGCTTCAATCACTCCTCACCTTTCTGTTGCCGCCATCTGCAGTCGTCGCCCAACCCCATAACCATCCTCAATCCATTTCACCCTAGAAGGAGCGCGAATCACCGCAAATTGCGACGCAAATCCACCCACTCTAGTGACTCTTTGCAACTAAAGCACCGCAACGTTGCTATGCCGATAGTGTTTTGTATGGTGGCGAGGATTGTGGCGGGGGATATGGCGGTTAGGGTGGTGTTTTGTGTGGTGGTTGTTTTGTAGTGAAATTGGTGGTTGTGGTGGTGAGGAGGAGGTGGTGGTGGTGAAAAGATGAAGAGTACGGTGTTCCTACTGGTTGTCGTAAGATGGTGGTAGTTTTGGATGCGGCAGTGGTGGTGGTTCGGCGCTCCGGAGGCGGTGGTTCTACCACAGGTCACAAGTGTTGGTGCTGGTGGTGAAGAGATGGAGATTACGACGTTCCTAGTTGTTGTGAGGTGGTAGTGGTTCTGGCGACGGTGGTTCGGCACGCTGGGGCGATGGTGCGTCGGAGATCGCAAGTGTTGGTGGTGGTCACCAATTATTTAGTCTACTGTGACCATTAAATTGGTTAATTTGTGACCAATAAAAAAAAATAATTTGTGACCATGAAATTATATGTGACCTAAAAAATTATTAATTTGTGATTGACTAATAAGTTGTGACTCATAATGACACGTGGCCTATTAATTTTTTAATTTGTGACCTATGAAAATTTTAATATGTGATCGTAAAATAATTTGTGATCTATAAATTTTCTGATTTATGATCGAAAAATAATATGTGACCAATTAATTTGATAAAATGTGATCAATAAATAAGTTGTAACCCATTAGTATGTATACGTAACCACTGGCAGACGCACAACAATTTTTTTTTACTTAAATATTTTTGAATTCTCATTTTTGACCCCACAAGAAAAATGGTCTCGATCCGTCCTTGTACATAACCATGAATTGTATAATTGTGATTTTAATATATTTAATTAATAAAATATAATTAATTAATACCTGACTTTTGCAATTTTTAAATTTAAGACCTGAAAATTGATTTGGTAATAGTTAAAATCTGATCCATGAATTCTTTCCATACAGTAAAGAGCATACGTGTTGCTATACAAATTCATTCCGTTGATGTACTTGCCCACTAACGTTAAAATCGAATCGAATAATAATTCTAGTCATTTATATGTAAATCTAACTTTTTAAATTTTGGTACTTCAATTTTTTTTAAATTTTGGTACTTCAATTAGGTGCCCATTTGATTTGGTTTTGTTTTTTACTTTTATTTTTTATGGAAGAATTTTTGGAAGAAAATTTCTAATTTTGTTTAGAAACTAATTTTTAAAATTGCGTTTTATTTTCGAAGTACCTTTAAAGAAAGTAACACCGTTTGGTAACCATTCTTTTTTTCATTCTCATTCTTCTACTAATTTTCAACCACACATTCATCAATAAAATAATATTTTCCATCACATCAATACCTTTTCCTTCATTTTCAACCACAAAAAAGGTGTGATTTGACACAAAAAATACATTTTTTCTAGAATAATGGTTACCAAACGGTGCCTGAATCAATTTTCTCTAAAAAAAATTGTAAGTAAAAAAAATATTTTCATAAAATTAATCAAATGGGTTTAAAAGCTATTTTCGGGTCTCAAAAATTCATTTCGATTTTTGAAAAATTATGCCAAACGAGACTTAAGAAAAGTGTGGTTGCAGTCTTGCAGATGCCTGTTTCTAAATTTCCTTTCAGGCAAAATTCGCACCAATGCAAATTGTCTGTCTTATGTTACTTTCTTACTTTATTCTTTTTAAAGTCTATAGCGTCTTTCGTAAGAGTCATCCACTACAGAATTCACCCGTCAATTCTCACTCGTCAAAATTTGTCAATTCAATTTTCAGTTCACCATTTTACCCCTCCCCAACCCACCGGTACCACCACCGTCGTCAGTGGACCACTGCTTCACGCAAAATTATTCTAATTCCTCGCAACACTGAAGTCTATGTGTAGCAAGAAAATCCGGTTCTTAGGATTTCTCTTCAGTTCGGTTCTAATCCTCGGCGCTGGTTAATCAACTGAATACTGAATAAATGCTAGCAATTGTCGCGATTTTACTGATTTTCGGTTTCGTAGTAGGCCAGAAGTGGAAAAATGCGGCGGCGAAGAAAGGCGAGATTTTGAGGCAGGTGGCTATGGCCTCGAAAGAAGATGCGGAAATTGCCAAAATCCAAGTAGTTGAAGCATGTAATTCGCCGCCTACGTTTCCACAGGTCGAAAGGCCGGTTCCACAAGTTGAAAATAGGTATTACTGTGCTGTCTGCTATTGCCCCACCACTACTCGGTGCTCTCAGTGCAAAGCAGTTAGATACTGGTGAGTTTTGTGTGCGTGCGTGNGGGGGGGGGGGGGGGGGGGGGGGGGGGGGGGGGGGGGGGGGGGGGGGGGGGGGGGGGGGGAGGAGACATATTGAGTTTATTAGAATTTGATGCATAAATGATATTGGAATTGTATACGCATGGGTTAATGGATGAATTTGCTCAATTTTTCGATGTTCAAAATAAGAAATAGGGCTGTTGGCTGAGGATATTCCTGAAATCTGGGTAAGGATAGTATGATAGTTGGTATGCTCCTTCTGGGTATTTTGAATATGCGAATGATTACTCATAAGGAAATCGAGGTCCTTTACGGTTAAGGAGGACATATATTTATTAGGTTGAACTGTCACTGTGGGATTCTAGCTGTTAAAACTCGTGCATTTCCAAAGCAAAAAGAAGAAAAATGTTGAGAGACATCGCATCGAAATATATGTTTTACTATTGGACTTAGGAAGGTCTTTGGAGATCAATTTTCTGGGCAGAGTTTCTGTCAAAAATTTGAAGCGTGATTTCCGTGTTGTCTAATGGCAAGTTTGGGTTGTGGGACAAGGAATTCATGTTCATTGTAGAAGAGTTGAATGGTAAAATAAAATTTTGTTACTGTTTGAAGTGGAATCTATTAACCACTTTTGATCTTAATTGAGAGATGAGTTGATACATGAAAGAAGGAAACGTGATAGCTATAACACCTAAATTACTTTCCATGTTTGGTACAAAAATCAGTCAAAAATTATTAATTGATTCTGTTGTAGATATCATTGAGACTTCGCACTTCAACAAAGAAGCACGAATTTTGAAAAATTGAAGATTCTTCATTATAGAAATGTAAACCTCTAAATGCATCAAGGTCGCACGTGTTTAACTAAAGATATTTATGTTAATTGCCTGAAAATAACTTTTTGCACTGGTAAAATCATGGTAACCCCCTATTCTCAATAAGTGGACGTAAGAAGGGCGAAAGAAAACTCATCTCTTTGGTACATAAAATACAATGTTATATTAATCTTGCTTCTCATGCTGTGACCCATTATAGTGGTCTTTTTTCTATTTAGAGAAAGTGCAGAACACTGAGTAGATGGACTTTATTGGATCTTACTTTCACATGTCACTTATTAGTAATAGGCTGTCCTTAACGATTGACTTCTGTGCTGCATGAGCAGGCAAAGCATGGCTTCTTCTAGTCACCTTCAAATTGAATTTACTCTTTCAATTTGTAATGCTTTGATTGTTGCAACTTTCTTAACTGAAAACTAATATTTTCTAGGAGGGGATATGAAGTGAAGTCCAGATGTTATTCATTTTTGTTATTTTTACATTATAGTTTCATTGTTTTCTAGTTCTGGTAAGTGTCAAATAATTCACTGGAGACAAGGTCATAAGGATGAATGTCGGTCAAGAGTTATGATGCATGCTAGCAAGGAAGATGAATGCGGAGTGGAATCAGCTTCAGAGAATCAGTTTGATATGCATGCAAAAGATCCAGTTAAAGTCTGCTCAGATTCCACAGAGTTGCTTACTGATTCTGGTTCTGCAAGTACCTCATTGCCTTTCTCCTCTTCTTCGACAAATCAAAGTGAAACGTCGTTTGATGCTTCCATTAGCGAGGTTCTCCAGACAGGAACGCCGATCAGGTCAGCTAACGAGACTTCTGAAAGTATTAATTCGGACATGTATCGGACTACCTCGGTTTCTGACCATGCAGAGTTTTCTAGCCCACCCACTTTGAATTCTACTGTTTATTCTGTAAACAACAACCCCAGTGCTACAAGGATCAGAAAGATGCCAGCTAATAAAATTGATGAAGGCTTCCATTCTACAAGCTTCAAAGATAAAAGAACCGATGATGTTGCTGCTTCAGAAGAATTTCTCTCAGGTGCAACTGAGTCGAGGAATTTGCAACACTCTAGTTATTTAAGGACATCTTCTTCAGCTGGACATTGGGAAAATGAAGCAAACCTATCCAGTAGTAAAGAAATGAGGTCTAAGTTTTTGAGGGGTTCTGGCAATAATCAAATATCACCTTTAGAGATGAAGAGGTCACAAAGGATGTCGTCTTCAGGTGGACATTGGAAAAATGAAGCACGACTAAGCAATGCTACTGAGAGGAGGGTGTCTTTTACGGATTCAGGTGATTATCAAAAGATCTCAAGAACCGAGAGTCATCATCCTTCGCCTTCGGAAGTTGAAGGCGCCCGAATGTCGTCTCAACCTGCTCACAAAGGTTTGAAAACATCAATGTGGAATTTCGTACAGCAGCATTTTAGAGTGCCAAATCAGTCAAAATCCTACACAGTTGGCAACTGGAAGGACTCTAGAGGAAATAATAACCAGAAGGTTACTTTTTATTTGTTTTTTTAAAACTTTTGAAGCTGCAAGGTTTTATTCATTACATGATGTTCCCTGGATCCTTTTTTTTTTTTAACAGGCCATATTTTCACCGCAGCTGTTCACGCAATTGTACTTTTATGATGTGGAACTTCACCCTTTTGGCCTTGTGAACTGTGGAAACAGGTAGCTGTGTCTGTATAACCCATCGCTTGTGATTTGGTGTTCTTAGTGCATGTAATTCAAATTGATCATTCCAAGTACTCTGAAACTGGTGGATGTGTTCCATCTCAAAATAGTGAAAATTTTTAGTCAACTTCAAATTTATGACTTGAGAATCTCATATTACTAGCCAATTGTTCGTTTCTGATACTTAAGTTGAACAACTAAGTCGTTATTAGTCTTCGTTTAAAAGAATATAAATCTGAAACATCAGTGCATAAAATAAATGGATTAAACTAAAAGCCTTGATTAGATAGTACAATGCAAAATGTTCGGTGCTGTACTTTGGACTTCAGAACCATTTAACATCTTTATCTCCTTTTACATATTATAACTTTTACATATTGTAACACTTTCCATAATTCTTCTTGGATGATTGCAAGATACATAACTATTATTTTTAAATAAATTATGTTGCACAGTGAGAGATCATGAACAGGATTTTCTGTTGAGATTGGGTTCTATGTTCACAATCTGTTTATGCTTGATAAATGTGTGTAACTATTGCAAGCATGCTGCAGGCCTGCAGCTATATGAAGAATTTCACATCAGTTCCACAATGGTTGTTTATCAAGAGTCATTGCTGCCTTATTCCCGTTATTAGTGTCATGATCTATAAACCATGTTGGATTTTGGATACTTCATTTCTTTAGTGAATTTGACTTTGGACATCATTCTTGGAGCTCTTAGAATTCAAACCATAATGCTTTGGACAAAGTCTCAATATGACTAAACTTAGCACTGTGGAGAAGATTGACTTGTACGAATAGGCTGACATGTTTAGTCTGATGATGATATTCTAGGAACACATATTAAGGGAAAATCATTATAATTTAGCTCCTTTTATGTTGTTTGATTAACATACCAGGACAGAACTTCAGGAGAAATTTTGATATAAGTGGTTATATCTGTGTTTCATGCACTGGGTTTTAAATTACAAAATGTGGCCGGCAAATGTTGCATTCTTTCTTGTCTTCAATATAATGCAACTTTCTTAAATTCTTTTTGCAGCTGCTACGCGAATGCTGTGCTTCAGTGTCTGGCTTTTACTCGGCCAATTTCTTCTTATCTTCTTCAAGGGTTCCACTCGAAAACATGCAAGTTCCTCTTTATAATTACTTGATAGACCTGCACTTTTTTAATCTTTTTTACTCTTTTTTTTGTGCTTATTCTATTTGACAACGATTCAGGTTGCAAGAAGGATTGGTGCTTCATTTGTGAGTTCGAAGGTCTGATACTAGAGGGACAGGAACTGAGATCTCCTTTATCTCCAATTAGGATACTGTCTCAATTACAAAAGATTGGAAGTCATCTTAGTCACGGAAGAGAAGAAGATGCCCACGAGTTTTTGAGGTATATAGTGTGAAGCAGTTTCAATTGTGGTTTAAGAAGTTTGCAAGTAAATATGTTGACTACGATTATGTTTCTGCACTATCAGATATACGGTAGATGCAATGCAATCTATATGCCTCGAAGAAGCTGGGGTTATTGGCCCATTGGCAGAAGATTCAACACTTGTAGGTCTGACTTTTGGGGGTTATCTTCGATCCAAGGTTTGTCCTCATGATGATTCATCAACAGGACCGATTTTTTCTAATAAACCATTGTCAATTCGTCAGAACACTTAGGAGTTGTTTGACAAAGTTTTTGATAAAAGTTTTAACAAATTTTGGTAAATGTTGATGAAATTTGTGGTTGAAAAATTGATAGAAAGTTGTGGGTCCTATGAAATTGTGGTTGAAACTGAAGTTCAACCTGTTCAAAAGTTAATGAAATTTTAGAAAAATTTTATCAGACAAGGGCTTAATCTGGTTTTTGGTACTAATTTATGTTGTCATGGACTTTTACTAACTAGTGTTGAGTGGACATACCAGATTAAGTGCATGAAGTGTTCAGGGAGATTTGAGCAGTATGACCGACTTATGGATCTTACCGTGGAGATAGATGGGGATATTGGTTCTCTTGAAGAGGCTCTTGCACAATTCACAGCATCTGAAACGCTTGGTGGAGATGATAAGTACAAGTGCAGCAGGTTTGTTCATCTCCCAGTTCAATCGAAACTTATTGGAGTTGCGGCTTTTGCAATTTATTTCTCATAATGTATTGCCGTCATGGCATCCTGATCAAGATCACCTTCATATACAATTTTTTATTCTATTATTATTATTATCATCATCATCATCTTAAAGACGTGATCCTTGTGCTATATCTTTATGGTCAGTGAATTCCACTACGTAATGGGTTATCTATATTACATTTGGTATTTTCTTTAGTTAATTGAATCTATGATGCTGCCATTGCAGATGTAAATCTTACGAGAAAGCTAAGAAGCAGTTGACTGTACTCGAGGCTCCTAACATTCTTACAATTGTTCTGAAGAGATTTCGGGTAACTCGTGTTTTAGTTACCTTGTATTTTCTATGCTATTTATGTTTTCTAATTATATCTCTGTCTTTGTTTTTGCAGTCAGGAAACCTAGGAAAACTAAAGAAGCTCATCCAGTTTCCGGAGGTTTTGAACCTTGCTCCATTTATGAGTGGAACAAGTGACAAATGCCCTATGTATAGTCTCTTTGCAGTGGTTGTTCACTTGGATATGATGAATGCTGCATACAGTGGTCACTACATAAGTTATATTAAAAGTTTCCAGGGAGATTGGTTTAGAATTGATGACAGCAGGGTATGGTTTTATGTACAGTTTGGCCTTCTCATTTTTGTACTTCAAGTTGTTCTTATTTTCTCACTTGTTCTTACACGAAGTTAGACGTTGTGAGATCCCTGTTTCTGATTACACTGGCATTTATTCTCGGAAGTTGTAACCCTTGGCACTTGAGTTCGCTGGATGATTGCAGTACCTACTTGTTGAAAGACATGCCTTCCCTTTTGAGATTTACCAGAAACATAATTGCATCATGTTCTCAATGTTCGCATACTGCCAACAGAAAGTAGAATAAGATAGGAGACACAAGAAAATGGCACCGGAGCATGCTCTTCAGGAAAAAAATTCCCAGCTTATTCAACCCCAGTTCTCCTTCCTGCCGCCTACATCCCTCTCTGCTTAACACAGCACCTCTCTGCTGTTGCTTGCTTGCAACGAAAAATCCAACATAACAGAATTATCAACTATTTCTGCTATCTTAGAAATCTGAATATTGCTTGCTTGGTTTTCTCATTTCCAGAGAATGTCAAGACACTGTTTTTGTTGTTGAAGTCAAACACTAACCAAATCGAATGGTTTTTAACATCATAACTAAACAAAATATTTAGTTTGAAAAGTATATGCTTTACTGTTTAGAATTCACAGATGGAAACTCTCGTCTGTTGGTAGTTTAGGTTCTATATAAATACAGACTATTTGGTACTCAATTGATTTGTCTTCCGAGGTGATTTTGACTTGGTGATGTTTTCATATCTCTGTGTCTGCCCCCTTCCTCCCACTTGCCTTCTTTTCAGTTTTCTTTTTGGGCGGTGAAGTATTTGGAATATGTTAAGATTTAGGATCTTGCTGTAATTGGTACCATGTAAACCTTGAACAAGGCACACATGGCTGAACAGGCTTTGAATCGCCAGGTGGCTGTCTGAGTGCCTACCTGTCGTTTCACGTCTGCTATTGATGTAGTCAGAAACAAATATCTTGTATTATTCTTTTGGAATACATTGAAGTTTTTCAACCCTTTCAAGTAACGAGCAAAAAAAAAGGCATGAAACTTGCTTTAGTTGGTATTTCTGTCTCTTAATGATTGAATGGCTCACTAGAAGTGTTTTGTTGTGTAGGTAATCCCTGTGGACCTAGAGACTGTGCTATCTGAAGAGGCATACATTCTTCTCTATGCAAGGTAATTCTAATTGGTTGACTGATTATTAATAAAAAAAAGTAATTATTTTTTATTTGTTTAAACAAGGTATTTATTCTTATAGGCACACTCCCCGTGGTCTATCTTTGGTGAGGAACGGGAGTGTGTATTCTGATGGTAAAACAAAAAGGGACATGGAAGCCATTTCTTCAAGTAACAGTGGAAAGAAAAGAAACTCGAAGACAAAATCTGAGACGTTGCATCTTTGGCCTGAAAGACACCATTATCCCAATGATTTCACTGACGACCATATATTGGATTCTGATGGCTGGAGATATCGCTCAATGCAAGGAAATCATATTGTGGATTCATTAAGTGATAGTTCTTCCATTTTCAGCATATCAGATACTAGTTCCAGTACAGATAGCACCAAGGATGCTAGCGCAGAGGACCTATCTGACTATTTATTTGGGTCTGGCTCTTATCGTCCATAAGTGGTTTTGTTGGACTCAGGTGTATCTCTCTCATTGCATTCGACACTCATTAGTGGGGGAGCATTGAGTATCAGAAAGAACTCCCTGTTGTAGACTTTGTATACTAAAACAATTGCAAGAAGTAGATAATTTCCGAGTTTGATAATTGTAGCAGATAAGTGAACGTAATCTGATTTACCCTTTTGGGAATAGTCATGATTTGTTCACTCCAAAGGGGGAACAAACAATCAGCAAGAGCAACTCAAAACATTTTTTGAGGAGTTTGAATTTTGACGGTAAGTAGTAGGTTGTAAATTGTTAAGGCATTTTGTATTTCAAATTATTGTATAATTAATGAGTATCAATAATAGCTCTCGGGGGCCTTTCTAGTATTCCCCTGCATTTTTGGCTGCTAATCTTTTTCAGCCTCATTCTTCTCCTGTGGAGGGGGCAAGTTTTGAATGCCATCTGCATCTGTACCTTCGCATTTTGTAGCATTTCTACTTTTATATGGCCGTGGACTTCTATTTTTTTCATCAGCTTCTTATAGAAAAGATGCTATCATAATTAATAATTTATTTTTAAGAGTTTTGAAAAAATGAGTTCAAAATCAGTTTTTTGGATTTCAAAAGTCAAGTGGAACGGACTCTTAGTTGATTATGATTTACAGAATACAATCAACTATTACATTCACACAAGGTAACGCTCACACTAGAAGAATACCGTCTTTTCTACCGAATCCATAATTGTACATAAATTACATACGAGCAATGTTAAGCGTATAATTTTTGGTTGACATCACTATGTACTTTCCACTGGATTTCAAAAAGTTCTTGGCGGGAAACTGTTGGTTTTTAAATTGTTCAATGATGTATTGTCACGTGACGGTTGATCTTACTATATACTTTCCACTGGAATTCAAGAAGTTGTTGGCGTGAAAGTGTTGATTTTTAAACTGTTCAATAATGTGTTGTTACGTTTCACTTAAAAAATGACGTATATGTTATCTAGCATGAGTGATGACATGTGTGTTGCTATTTGTACACCACCCCTCACAGGAGAGGAGGCCAACTCTAATAAAAAATTCGGAGAGATGCTACATGACTCGGCTCAATGATCGGGCCAAAATGCAGGTGCCGAGGTGGCACCATACAATTGGAGGGAGAGCTGACCGAAGTCAGCCCCCCATCCAATAACAGGGCGCCACCTCGGCGCCCTGTCAAATGTCCCGGTCACTGAGCCGGGACATTCAGCAAAATTCAAAAATTCGTGAACCCTTGTGGGAAATGTACACGGTGTCACATATAGGCATATAGCAATACCCTTGATTATAGAAGGCTCCGGCCCTAGTTCAAATGTAATTCCAATGTCATGCAGCAGATTCCTATTTCTCTCTCAATCTCAGGTCAAAAACTCAGTAATTCCAATTTGTTTCCCTGATTCTATTAATATTAAGAGAGCAATGGTCACCGCTAGCAGTAGCCCTTCTTCCTCTAACCCCAATAATAATCGGGCCGGCGGTGAATTCACAACTCTAAAAGAAAGAGTCACTTTCCAGAAGGAAATTAAGAAGAGTAAATTCATTGCAATTGCTGGTCCCGTTTCCGATGAACGCTCCGCTTTTTCCTTCCTTTCCGAGGTAATTTACAGTTAAATCATTTTTTTTATTGAAAATTTCCCAAATTTATTATGTGCAATTTGTATATGACGCTCGAAGTGATTTAGTTTTGATTTGCTGAATGGAAAAGAGTTACAAGACTTAATTTTATTTTCCTTCTCTGTCTGGTGGGCTCCTGGTATTCAGGTTAGCGATCCACGTGCCACTCATAATTGCTGGGCTTACAAGGTATCTGCTAATTTATATTTTGGTTCTCCTACATATGATTCGAATGCTACAATAACTAGTTTCCTTTTGCAATTTTTAGCTTGTTATCTAGGCTTCCCAATTGGTTGAAGATACCAAACTAATTTACATAATTATTCCCTTTCTTCGAGAGAAATTATTGACAATCTGTTTTAGTTGAACTCGGTTAGAACTGCAGTGTATAAAAAAGAAACTTCTGCAAGCTATGTCAAATCGATTTCATGGTAGGCCAAGTTTTGGGCAATGAATATAATTGCTTAATGCCATCGTAAGAGAATCCACAATAGTAAGAATAGTATTTTGAACTTATTATATCATACTTAGCTTTCTGGCATTGTAGATAATTATGTATGGTGGATCATGATGTGGCAAACCTACTGTCAACATATAATATAGACTAAGCGATCACAGAAAGGAATGAGGGAACTGACTTCATTTAGCTGGATTTTGGTTCCTTGATTGAGCTGCCTAATGTATTGCTAACGTTCCAAACCACACCAAGATTTGTATATGTAAGACATGCCTGGCTTGTAATAATACTGTTCGTGGCTTCTTTCATCTCAGGTTCAACCAGTTGTTAAAAAGTTAATCAGCATAACCAACATTTTCATAAAAGTTTCTACATTTTGAGATACACATTCTTTTATCAATTGCGTTTGACATAAAATTGTTACAGTTTATTGATTGTTATACTCATATTTCTAACTAATACTTAACTTCTACAATTGTTGTTCCACTTTGTTACCCAGATATTGGACAGAAAACCAAGCTGAAACCTTAAGTAAAAAATCTACACCGAGGTTATATTGAAATGCACCGTGCCTTTTCATTGATATGTGTTTGGAGAAAGTTTCTCCTAAAAAGGTTGCATTTCTTTACTGTCTAAGGCAGTGCATGGGCTATCTTGATTGGTGACAGTACAAGGAAAAGAAGGAAGGCCTTAAGCACTAATAAGTTAGGGCAAGGTTACATAAATCCTTTATTGTGATGCTCTGACAAAGATTTGCTTTGAGATTCTGTATTCTGCATTCGGTAGTGTTTACTCCTGGCAGTATCAAAAAACTATTCCCTGCCTAGATGCTGTATCTTAGACTCTTAGTAGGTAGCTCAGTTAGGCATTTCTGACTCATCTTTTGATGTATGTAGTTGGAAAGATATTCATGCATCATCTGGTGCAAAGTGTTCTATGGGAAGAATGATTCCTCTTATTCAAATTAGTTATATTTTTAGCTGAGTCTTTTTCTCACTTTTTTGTTCTTATGTAGCCTTCACACTTCATATTAATATGTTGCCTTTAACTATACTCAGTGTGCATGTAATCCTTTTTAGGTTTACTCAACAAAATTCTTTTAACTTGTACCTACAATAATTAAATGTAAGGATGAGTAAGTGTGACCATAACCGTTCCCTTTCTTTGGTAAGTGCGACCATATCTGTTCCCTTCTTTGGTTTACCTTCTTGGAGTTCTGAAATCACTGTCAATAGATAGGAATCTTGCTGATTGTATGGGCTCTTGTTTGTGAAACTTAATATCACAGTCTTTCTTTATGTAATGCCACAAACTTAATTGGTCCTTAATTCTAGGTTGGAGATCAATATCGGAGTAATGATGACGGTGAACCATCCGGTACAGCTGGCAAGCCAATACATTCTGCAATTGTCTCTTCTGGCATAGATAGAGTTATGGTTGTCATTATCAGGTACGGGCTCCAATATTTCAATTGATGAAAGGTGGTGTAAGTTATTAAAATCTTTTATCGATTAACATATTTTAAAGATGATCTGGAACTTC